ACAACATAATGAATAGCAGTAGACAACACTTCAGAAACAAGTAAGAAAATATAGGGGGACAAAGGATCACCTTGCCTGATACCTCCTGAAGGCTTAACAAACCCACAGACCCTCCCATTAATGTTGAAAGAAAAAATAGAAGAAGAAATGCAAACTAACACCCAGCTCACAAAAAAGGAATGAAATCCCATCTTCAACATGATATCCCTCACACACCTCCATTCCACCCTATCATAGGCCTTCTCCATGTCCAACTTAACTGCCATAAAAGAATGAGGACCTGACCTATGTCTATTCGAAAAGTGAAACACCTCATGGGCAATGACAACATTGTCCATAAGTTGTCTCTGAGGAACAAAGGCATATTGCAACTCACTAATGCAAGAACCCAGACATTCTTTGATTCTAGAGGATAGAATTTTAGAAATAATTTTATACACCACGTTACAAAGACTGATAGGACGAAAATGGTTAAGAGACTCGGGTTTAAAGCACTTGGGAATTAAAGTAATCAGAGTATGGTTCCAAGATTTCAGGATCATATTAGACTCAAAAAAACTGGAAACAACAGAACAGATATCAGATTTACAAATAGTCCAAAAATGCTGAAAAAAGAGGGGAGTCATACCATCTTCACTCGGAGCTTTGTTTGGGTTCAGGCTGAACAGACCTTGTTTAATGCAGTCTTCATCAACAGGGGCTACTAGATCATTATTCATTGCCAAAGAAATTGACTGAGGAATATTTTGCAGTAACTCCTCCCCTCCACTTGACCCCTCTGATTTGAATAACCTCTCATAATAAAGACACACCATTTTCTCAATCTCTTCTTCAGTTTCAGCCACCAGCCCATCAGCATCCACTAGTCTACTGATAGCATTCATTTTACTATCTCAATCCTCCAACTTATCAACATATGTCGTAAGAGCCTGTGGGATGAGGTTGGTATCCCCAGTACGAGACGGATGCAATGTGGCAGAACATCACTAGTAACAATTTGCCACAGTTTTTTTTTTTAATTAAAAAATTTTTCATAGATAGTTCCCAAAGACTATAATCATCTCCAGATAAGATAGCACTGATCGGAGAATGCACATCTAGACATTCCATCTCCAGAATCAAAGTTTTAACATATAATCACAATCACAATATCACGAAGCAGATAAAATCAAATTTCGAATCAGACAAGATATCAGTACGAGTATAATTTTTTTTTAAAAAAATCACGAATACCAAATTTGATCAGATCAGATTGTAGCTAATGTTAACAGGAGACGACGACTGGAAGACAGGGGTGAACGATGGTGGGGGTGAGTCACACGCACAGATTGTTAAAAAAAATCACTAATGTTAGCATTGTTGTGATCTCGTATTTGCACGCACAAATTGTTGACTGGTTTATTGTCTCCATTCTTGAAGAAGTTGTGTAAATATGGTTTAGTATTTTCTCATCTTCGTTGATGACAAACAGTTTGTAAGGGGATATAACATCATTTGTTCATGTCTCGAACAGTGCAATTATATTAGAAGAAACACAATTAGTGATCTAAAATTTAAAGTTATTGATGCAGATCATGAATTCATGTTTTTCGAGATGTTGAAAATATTTATGCATAAGATAATGTGGGAAAATGAGGACTCGAGAGATGACAAAATTTTGGTAGTAATTTATCTTCAAGTTCGATGGCATCTAAACATTGTTTTTAGAGCATTACTTTTTTTTTTCTCAATAGTAATAGCAGATATAGCAAATGACTCGCATTTATATTTTTAACTACTGATAATTTGTTATTGGCTTTGTTTATGTGACATAAACTTATTTACTTTATTTATTATAAAATAATCTAAAACAAACAATTTTTTTAATTGAAACCACACAAATTAAATTTATTATCATCTAGTTTTACATTTTTTATTTTCAACCTTGTCAATACAACTAAAAAATTTAAACCAGATTTCGACACGATCATTATGCTACACTGTTTTGTGGCCCAATAATCATTGGTGGGCCGGATCTTCTAATTTTGATCCGCAGTCAAGTTGCAGACCTTCCTAGAATTGATCTCATGCCCTTGGGATTTCAAATCGAAATAGTAGGATCAATTTTTTGTGGTCTTTATTGAGCACATGTACAATATTGTTTCATTGATTAATAAACTAGAGCTTGAGTTATCAAACTATACATATGCATGCTTATGTTCAACATTTGGAGTACCAAGTGCACAAATCCCCCTATATATTATTCAACGTGCTGAGTCTAAATGACAGACTCGCATGTTTCGGAATCCTATGTGGCAAACTTACATACTTTGTTGTTATGTTTGAGTATATTTTAATTTAATTACTTCCAATTCAAAAAATAATTAGGTCTGAATTATTCATAAATATATTATTTTCATGGTCATGTTACATGTATTACTTGTATTTTATTATCATTTGTTATTATAACCATTGAATTGTAAATGTATTTTAAAAATTAATAACTTTTGTATTTTATGTCAGTTTTATATATATAATATATCTAATTAATTATTTCTTAATGAGCTTCGATTTAACATCCATATTGTATGTAAAAAAAAAAATTATTTTTATCTTTATAACAATAATAAAATTATTTTTTAATACTAATTAAAAATAAAATTATTTATGGATTAATATATTTATATTTCAAGTAATTATATGATATAAGTTATAAAAATTACTATAATATAGGCGATATCACATGTAAGTCGCACAAGTAACAAGTGTCATTTTAAAATATATAATAATATATGTTTTTTGTAAAAAAGGAATAAAATTGAAAATAATTTTTCTTATTAATTTTAAAATTTCAGAATAGTTTTTTAACAAGCACGGCCCGTGTAATACACGGGGATTGTACTAGTTATTATGGTTTTGAAATTAAATCATTTGGTGAAAAACAAAGCAAGAGAAAGAGGCAAAAAAATCGAGATGCCCAAAAGGGATTGATTATTATTACACAATTTGAATGACATAAAAAAAAAAAAAAAAAAAGTCAGGAAAGGCGCAGTTGGTCGTAGAGATGTTAAACGGTCCTTGGCCCGACGGGCCGGCCCGTTTAGCCCGGAAAAAAACAGGGTTAGGGCTTTTTATTGGTAGCCCGTTTAAATCAGGGCTTTTTAGGCCCGGACCGTTTAAACCGAAGTCCGTTAGGGCTAGCCCGAAACCCGCTAGGGCTGGCCCGTTTAACTTGAGTTGGGCACTGTAAATATTTGCAGCAAGTAAGTAATATACTCTTAGATTCATTGTATATTAAAATTTTGTTATTCCACTTCATATATAAGTATGAGCTGTAACGGATTATATTGATTTGGAAAGATAATTATTAACAATATTCTTATTGTACTCCACACCAAAATATTTAACTCAATCAGAACGACTAATAGGAAACAAATGAGACAAAGACCTAACACATGAAACATAGTGATAGAATTTATAGTGATATAATATCGTAAAAATTTCCAAAGCGTACAAAATATAAGTAGTGAAATGGTAATTGTAAGTAATAATTTGAATATTTTTTTCTTTTGAAAAAAAATATTATTTAAGAATTTGTAGTATGTGTTCATATATGATGTGTAGTTGTATATATAGAGCAGCAAATAATAAATACCGTTGAAAACAATCGTTAATTAGTCGTTGTATTTTTTATAATTTTTTTCTTTTTATTTTTTATATTTTTTGATACATTATTATTAATACTATTATTAAAGCCCGTTTAGCCCGTTTAGCCCGAAGCCCGCTAGGGTTAGGGTTAGGTCCTTTTATTGGTAGCCCGTTTAAATCCGGGCTTTTTAGGCCCGGACCGTTTAGCCCGAAGCCCGCTAGGGCTAGCCCGTAACTGCTAGGGCTAGCCCGTTTAACATCTCTAGTTGGTCGATTATTCATGTTGAAAAAAATGCGGGCGGGGAAGAGGGCCCGTGGCCCGGCCCGAAGGAGGCGACGTGGTCTTTGAGAGACCTCTTGTGCTTGAAGTCAGAGCCGCAGAGGCAGAGCCAGCGCTTGCCGCAGTTCTTCTCGTGGGTTCGCCAGTCGCCTTTCACTGCGAGTGGCTTCCCACACTTGCGGCAAGCGTACCTCTTGCTGCTGTGCTTGCGCTTGTAGTGTGTCTGTAGGGTGCGAAAGTCCTTGAGAGGCTTCCCCCTCGGGTGCTCGATATTGTTCTTGCACCCTTCCATGCAGCAATAGCACGGAACCCCCTGCATTGCCCGTGGCTGACGACCCTTCAATGACTCCGATCCCCTTCGGAACTCTGACCCGTGACCCCACATATGCATCTATACATACATATATTACGTACGTGTCAACGATGATGTCATATTTGTACGCGTGTCAATCTAATGAAATACGAACTGAATACATGAAAGTGGAGCAGGAAATCTGAACCGTACGTACATACGTACCTGGAGATTATTGTAGCGATTAAAAGTTTTCTTGCATATGTGGCATGAAAAATGAGTAAAGCCAACCAAGATTTGTGCAGGGGTTGGTATCCAATATGCGCAATTTGCAATATTATCCTTTTTCTCGCAACTGATCTTAACATCGTTACTCAAGTTGGGAGGGCCTATATGCAATTCCACGTCGGAATCTTCACTTTTTCGGTTCGACTCATTCGTGTCATCCGATAAATTAAGCGAACACGATGGTTTCTTTGGGAAAAAATCGAAAGGCTCCATGATTTTTTGTTCGTTTACTGATCACTTCTGTATGTGATATGGCCTTCTTATATGATATATATGAATTATATATATATATAACGTTCATATGTTGAAGACTAATGCAAGAAATAGAATCTGTTGGAGAGTAATTAATATATGTTGAGTTAAAAAAATAAAACAGCCTTTAATTTAATAATCTGCTGCCTGTGAAAAATACCCCCTTTTGGTAACCTTAAGTACTGCCTTAATTGATCTGGGCCACAGATTCTATTTCTTGCATGAGGCAAATTAGCAGAAAGTTTGAAAATTATGGCACGATTTCGACTTTCTTTGTCACGCTCAGACAGTAAAATGTTGCAGGAGGGATTGTATTATGCCCATACTTGGAAAAATCGTGGGCCGATTCGAATTGGGCGGTTGCATTAATGTTTTTGCCGGTCGCGTAGCTGTTAAGGTAAGCCGAAAATTTAATGCATTTTGCAAGAAATGTGTAACCTGTACCAGATTTTAGCCTGTGAAATGTTGCAGATTGTATTAATGATAGTTTTGTTTTTCTGTGAGAGTTATGTTTGGGGTGTGATGAATACTAATAATGGGGTGAACAATGTTTTTTAGATTGCCTGATAGCTATAGGAATTTTGTTTGCAGTCAGCAGTTATATATACCTTTTCCTGGGAATTTTCATGGACTATAATGGAGAAAATGCATACTGTTATGTAAAAGTAGTGGAATTATCACTACACCTTATCTTCTACATTTTTTATTATTATGTATGGAAATGTGTGCCTATATTTTGGCTATAAAAGGACCAAATCCTTGTAGTGTTTGGATGTGAAAAACGAAGAAGATCAAGAAAGGAAGTCAGTTATAATCTCTATCCGGTTTTTATACATTGTGTTCTTTATATTCCCCGTATTTTATAACACATACTTTATTTTACTAATTTTGCCTTTTTTTTTTTTTTTTAC